CCCCCCCCCCCCCCCATTTCCATGTCACCAACTTGTATACATTCCATCTCAATTTTTTGGCTCATTTATCCTTAGAATACATTGGCAAAAGTCTTACTATAGACAATTTCAGCCTGTTTTACAGACTAAGTTTCAAGACTCTACTGAACTCCCTTGATGCCATAGTCACTCTCATTGCTAATATTCCTACCTGATGAGAAAATGAGCTACCATAAAGTGGCTGAAGAAAGCATGATTGATTATGAGATGATATGAAATAACATTTTCTCATTAGTAAACATTTTTGGCAGCTTTTATGATGTCCTTATGATATCCTTAGGATGAGAAATGAAGGATCGTCTTCAGTTAAAATGGTAAGAGGATTTAGAAAACCAGAGAAAAATTGAAATTGGTTAGGGTACTTGGCAAAAATGCCAACATTTCCCTTTCAGCTATATGGTGAGAGATCTATAGTCTCTTGAAACAGTGTTAATGACCCACCTCATCAATCTTCAATTTTATGTATTGCCAGAATTTACCATAAATAAGTTCAGTTACCAGCTGTTTGGGTTTGACTTTGCTCTGTTGAAGAATTAAGTGCTAGATAGTAGAGGAATGGTATTAACCTCCTCTGTGTGAGTTACTACATACCCCATACATGAAGCAAGTAAATGTTCTGCGAACAGATGATTCTGTTTACTCTGTTAGTTTGTACGGGTATCTTGTCAGCATCAGAAATGTATAAATAAGAATTTTGATTTGAAGTTTTGTAGTGTATCAAAACACTTTAATTTCTTTTCATGTATAGGGACATAAAGCCTGACAATGTTCTTTTGGACATGAATGGTCATATACGGCTGGCAGACTTTGGATCCTGTTTGAAGATGAGTGAAGATGGCACTGTATGTAAAACATATCTGAGCTGGATATTACTTAGGGGTTTTTAGATGTATGAGAGAGCTCTTAAACCTTATAATAATAGAGCGGTAAAGGGATATCTTCAAAATGTATACATTTTAATATGCATTTAGAATGTATTTTATATTTTAAAGATTGCTTTTAAAGTATATATACTGTACATTAGATGTACTCAGCCATCCTTTGTTCTCTCCCACTATTACCATTTATAAGAAATTGAATACCTGTGGACTATTTGAAAAGGAGAAGTATGGACGTTTGTGATTCTGGCCAGTGAATCTGATGACAAGCTTTAGGGATTCCATATTGATTGGCTTCTTGCATAATTTTCTGTGTTAACTAAACTGGGAAAACAGAGAAAAAGGATTCAAGAGTTGTCCCCTGCTGATAGTCAAAAGATCTGCAGGCTCCCCAGCTGTGAGTCAGTCTGTTTTAATGGCCAAGGTTGTCACCAACTTGAAACATCAATCCAGATGGAGCCATGGGTGTTAATCAAGCTGGGCACCATCTACAAATTTAACTACATAGATCCCCAGCAAGCCTGTAGCTCCGAAGTAGTAACTCTGAACCTGTCAGAGCTGTTTTTACACCAAGTCAGAACCCATGTGTCCACCCCTTCTACTCTGCCCCTCTGTTGCTTCAGCCCACAGTAATCTGTGAGAACCTCTAAGCAAAGAAAACCATTAGGGTATTGCAATTGGCAGTCTTGTACACTGAAAACTGAGTATCACTATTACAAATGCCATATAATTCCCCTCTGTTATTTAGCACAAGTTCTGTGGTGTATTATGTACCCTGTGAATTACTCATGCCAGAAGTCAAATTATCCATTGACAAAATTTGTAATTTGTACTTTTAAGGTACAGTCTTCAGTGGCAGTGGGTACACCTGACTACATCTCCCCAGAGATATTGCAAGCGATGGAGGATGGGATGGGCAAATATGGACCAGAATGTGACTGGTGGTCTCTAGGTGTCTGCATGTATGAAATGCTGTATGGAGAAACTCCCTTTTATGCTGAATCCTTAGTGGAAACCTATGGGAAGATTATGAATCATGAAGTAAGTTATACAATCAAGACATACGTAGTCAATAAAATTGTATTCTTTTGCAGACACAAATACCCTCCAAAGAAAACGGGGGTTTTGAGTGACAGCAATTTTGTTATTCCATAAAATGTTTCTGATTAAAAAATTAACATTAAATTTTGTAGATGTTATTGGTTTTTGTCTTTTAAGAATTGATTGATTTTTCAGGGGTGTAGGTTGTAGCCGTGTTAGTCTAAGGACATGGGAAAACAAGGTTCTTTGCATGAATCTGATATCAGATTCACGCAAAAATTAATTATTCTGCATTTGTGGAAATGGAAAAACGTTGCTTTCCTGTCATATTTTGAGACTGGTCATGGAAAAAAAGGTTCATTGTCTCTCTAAAGGCAATCACCTTGTTTGTAGGGCACACTATAAAAAGTTTCCTCCATGCTCTGTAGGAACAGTTAAGATGTTATTTACACAGCTGTACATAGATAATCTGGGCAAATAAGGAAGTAAGAGAAACAAGCAGTGTTCACTCAAGTTTAGTTAGGGGTATGATTTTTGGCCAGTGTAAAAATACAGCATTGATAGGGAATTTTTTATTTGTGAGCTAGTTGTATTTTAAGCAGCAGTGTGAAGCTAAACTTTCTGCTGATGTCCTTTTGAAGACGGTATGTAGAAGATGATGGATCTTGGGTAGATATATACAAGGTAATGTGGAAGTCCAAGATGGCACAGTTAGCATGGTTTTAATAACAATACTCTCAGCTAGATGGGCATAAGGATGCTCAAGACTTACATGTTCTAGAATATAAATATGCTCTCTTCATAACTGAGGCAAAAAGAATAGAAATTATCCTTGATGGATATAGCCAATGAGTATACTTTAATTTGTTTTTAAAACATTACTGTTGAGCATATATTTTTTTGGAAGGTGCCATATCCTGACTGACTTGAGGGAAGTCATCTGATCTGTTTTGTTTTAGATTTTTGTCATGTCCACACCATAAGCTGCCTTTGTAGTTTCACTTGTCTTGTTGGTTTTGATGATACATTTATCAACAAAACAAATAAGACTGTTTCATTTTCAAATGGAAATCTCAGCTTGAAATCTGTTTGGTTAAGTCCAGCTGAGTCTTGTATTCCTCTGATAGCTTTAGTACTACAATATCACCTTCTGATTTGGGGCAACAGGATGACTGTACATAGAACAATAAGCTCACCTGTTTGCAAAGGAGTTTCAAGTACATAAATATAGCCAAAGATAGCAAAATACTTTCTTTCATGTTTAGTAACTTCACATGTTAATTGTAAATAGCTAGCTTGCATTGCATGAGGTTGTTGCCTATAATGCCATATTTTAATCTGCCTAATACAGCTGATTACAGTAGTGAAAAAAACATTACTTGAAGACCTAGCATGCGTTTTATACTGATGTCAAAGAAACTAAAATATTTCTTGACAGAAGTACTTCTGAATTATATGACTTACTGTTTAAGTACTTTTGTTTATGTATTTTGGAACCAAAAATATCTTCGGTAAGATATTTTGGTAAATAACATACAAAGCAAATAAAGCAAAGCAAATAAAACTTGACTTAAAGATCTCAATGCTGAACTTTGACTTTTGAGTAACTTTACTTTCCTACCCATCTCAACAACAAAAATTATCTAAGTGAAGCCAGTTTAAATCAAAGTCTGAAAGATCTGAATCTGAATTAATACCTTCAAAGGTTTTAATGATTAGCATATCACATTTCAAAGTGAAACTCTTCCTTTTTGAAAAAATATTGCTGTTATGAAGACACCTATTATCTGCTTATAAGATGCCTTAAATTTTGTAGAACCATAAAATATTGCATGATCCCGTATGAGATATTGTGTGTGGGGGGAGGGGTCCCTGAAGGTTTGTTTTGTTGATTTCTTTTTTTTTTTTAATGGGGGGTGGGGGGTCATAATTTAAGATATCATATAATCGAAAATGTTCACACAGTTGGAGTAAGTTAGACAGATACAGTTCTAGGAACTTGATCTCTCCACTGCTCTGAAGACTAGTAAGCATGTTTTCGCATCCAATAGAAACATAAAGGGGCTGATCCTCAACCAGTTAATGCATCTACTAATAGGAATCTGGTCTCAACTCCTTGTATCCTTCTGATTATATGCCATACAGAATCAAAAAAACCTTTTTTTTTAAGTTTCCTTTCTTTTAAAAGCTTCAGGTAATATGTTTAAACTAATTCATGAAGATATAAAACAGAGGAGAAATAGGTAATATTTATTATTAGTTAGTTAGCGTTTTAAAATCAGCAGCCATTCTATTTAACTTGATCCAAGCAAATACTTCTGCTGCTTACAAGACTTGAAAGCAATAACTGTGACTGTTCATGTCTAGTTAAATTTCTCTAGTCTAGTACTTTTTTATTAAATTGTGTTTTTTTTAAATCTTTTTTTTCTTTACTTAATTTTTTAATATAAAATTCTCAAATTGTTTGTTTTATTTTTCCTAGGAACGATTTCAGTTTCCATCCCATGTTACAGATGTGTCCGAAGAAGCAAAAGACCTTATTCAGCGGCTTATCTGCAGTCGGGAACGTAGACTAGGACAAAATGGAATTGAGGATTTCAAGTCTCATGCATTTTTTGAGGGACTCAATTGGGATAATATCCGGAACCTAGAAGCACCTTATATTCCAGAAGTTAGCAGTCCTTCTGACACCTCCAACTTTGATGTAGATGATGATGTGTTAAGGAATCCAGTGAGTTTCTTATTTAAACATTACTGCAGTGTTTTGTTTTATACAAGGTAATAGTAATCTGTTAAAAATGAACAAACTTGTTTCTAGTTTGTTTTTAATAAACTGAGTTGTTAAAATATGACATTTGATTAAGTATGTGAAAAATAAAGCTAGGATATTAAATCTTACTATTTGATCATATCATATAATGGGTAAAGGAATCCACCCCAGAATACTGAGTTCCTTAAAACTGTTCTAGAGGCCTTGAACTGATAGTTAAAAGTAGAGCTGATCAGAGAAACTTCAGTAAATTCACATATTGTTAGACTGTGTTGTTCTGTCTGAGACCACATACAGGCATTTGGTTTCTCCTGAGTGTCTGCTCTCCCAGTAGCAGTCACAAGTGTGCAGATGTTCAGAATTTTTCTCTCACAGTAAAAATGCCTGCTTCAGGGGAAAAAAAAACCTGGAAGCAACCAGGGACAGTTAAATCACTCCCAGGAGAGTTTCTCCTGGAAGATAAAATGTCTGTCTGTACATGTTCTCATCTGAGAGAAGCCACGACACACTGCTCCTGGAGTGCTTTGCTCCCATTCATCCTTTTCCCTCCCCTTCCTGGCCCGCCCCCGCCCCCGCCC